ACGCCAAACATTCGGTAGAATTTATAGAATAATGAAAAATTATGGTCTATTACCAACACGTATATATATATATATATATATATATATATATATATATATATGTATATGACTAAACCCAAAATTTATATACATATATAAACGTTTTGAAGGCCTACATGTGAAGGTTTTGTAACTAATAGGTTTAGAAAATTTAACAGAGGCAAAATAAAAACCATCATGAACTATTTTAACAGTTTCAAAAATTTATCAATTTTTTGTTAATGTATATTTCGGTGCACCTGGAGATGGTAAACCATCTGGTTGGAGGGAATTTCACGAAAACGAAGAATGGTGGGGTTGCGGTTTGTTGCCAGGATCCTTCCAACAGTACAGTACAGTTTGTCGATCACAACGTCAGTTTTTACTTTTTTGTTTCTTCTTTGACACCTTTTATCTAACTCTCTAAAGTGACCTTTTTAAAATTTTACTATTGCTAATAACACGACAACTATTATAAAGGATGTACAACTTTATTAGTTTTGTACGAAATATTTTAAAATCTTGTACAAAAACATTTCAAAAAATTTTAAAATTTTTTTAAACAATTGAGTTTGAAGTTATGAATTATTATTTTCAAATTCACACTTCCTGTTTAAAATTCTAAGTAAATGCCTGTGATTTTTATTTAAAAAAGATGATGATTAACGACAATTATTTTCAATGCAGTTAAAATGTGATGGCCTAACAAAATGTGCCTGGCAGTGTCAGCAAGATCCTACCTGCTTATCATTCAATTTCATGCTCCAACATTATCAAAATGCCTCTCTCAACCCTATCACAATTGAATGCAACTTTTTCATAAGCAAATGTTACAGTGTCCTGCCGATTCATAGATGCTCATTTTTCCAAGTTCGTTCTCTTTTCAATGGAAGATCTCTGAAATTACAACTTTTTAACAAATATATTTCAGAAACAAAATGTGCAAGTTTTCACTGAAGATGGTTTGTATATTTTTTCGAATTATTATTCAATAGAAATCAATTCAGCTCTCCGCACAAAAATTATTAAATATAGTTTGAATTATAAAATATGAAAATAGTCAATTAAAGCCATAACATCGTAATAAAAACACTCTGAAACACTCATTTAAAATTTGAACAGATAAAAAAGTTTCTTGCTCGTTACCTTACACCTCAATTGGTGAAATAATCAACGATTGCTTAATCGGTTCAAGTTGTTTAAATGGAAACGGAGCTAAGTCAGTATGCACTGAAAACAAATCAAGTAGAAAAATTATCAATTGCATTTTCAGTTTCTAATTGTTCACATCGTCTACGTTATAACATTAACCTGCAGTAAGTTCCACGCTTACTCGCATTAATTTGTTTGTCCCGAATATTCCAACGCCGAATGTGACAGCTTACACTACAGCGGGATGGCTGGTCATACATCAGGCCAATGTTTCATCCAATGAAAGCTTCAACAAGAATTGGAATCAATACAAATATGGATTTGGAAACATAGAAAAAGTAATTTATGTTCAAATTGTAGCAGGCTTGAAATATTTTTTGCACGTATTATTATATTTTGGATGTATGAACGAATATTTTTGGAAACTGAATTATTTATGGTGTCGAAAATTCATTTCCTACTCAACTCAACTCAAACAATGAGTGCAAGTAATAGTAGTCAGATTAAGCGCTCTATTGTGAAATTTTTATTTTCATCCATTTAGTGGATATTTTATTTAAAAAAATTTCTTTTTGATCTACCTTGCCTGTTTGCTGCTTCCGACAATTTTCCTGCCAACCGAACTTGCAGACTAAAAATCTTGTTGTGTCTTCATCTTTAAACTCCAGCACACGTTTTTTCAATAATGTTGAAATGATAATAATTTGATGTGGCAACAATGCTAAAAAAATATAGCAGTTATAATAATGACATTGATAATAATAAAAACACAAAAGATTACCAAAAATGGTGAAAAGGGAAGAAAATAAGTAAATTCTGTCATCCTTTTATGTTCTGAGTGTTTTTTTATGTTTTCTGTTTACAACTTGTTTTTGTTCTAACATTTTCCTTTCCAATAATGCTGTCTGCTTCTCTGGGATGACACTGTTACGTACCTACTGTTTCTTTATTCCATCTTTATATTTTAATTTTTAATCTTTCGTCATCCCCTTCTTTTCTTATTCCTAAATTAGTTTAGTTATTTCATTCTTTGCCTTTTTGTTCCAAATCTTTTTTCTTTATTCTCAATAATTAAAAGATAGAATGCTTGCCAAACTCTAGCAATAATAAAAAAAATAATTTACAAAATGTGAAAATATGAAATTTAAAAAGGGCATCTCATTAAGCTTAAGAAAACTTGATTTAAAAAACATATCTGAACTCACTGTTCATGTTTAGCTCGGATATTTTATTTATGTATATCTATATGTGTGTTGTTTAACTACAAAGATGATAACAATTAATTTATAGATGTGTATAACCATAATTATGTTTTCAGTTTGAAATTTATGACTGCTTGAAATATTTGCAAACAAGGGCAACTACTGGCTGGGAAACGAGTACGTCAGTCAGCTGACATGGATGATGCCCAACGTAACCTGGCGTCTGCACGTCAGCGTCCAAGCATCTGCCAACAAGAAGTTCTACTCCACTGAGTACTGGAGGTTCAGAATTAAGAGTGAGAAAGAATTGTACGCCATTGAACTGGCAGGCAATGTGCCGAGAGATGCTGGTGATGCTTTCAGTTTCACTAGTTCATCAACGTGGGCGACAAATTTGAGAGCGTTTTCCACTCCTGACAAGGACAACGATGAATGGTCTGGTGGCAACTGTGCTGATCAGAATGGATGGTGGTTCAACTGGTGTGGAGTCAGTGTGCTGACGAGCACTCCTCAAAGCTGGGGAACTGTGAAAAGTGCAACTGCAGCTGCTGATTATAATGTTATTTATTCCACCATGATGATTATGATCAATTGATACTTTCTTGAATCTGCCATCTTCAGTGTTCAATGTTTATGTTCAACATTTGAAAAATATATATAATCTCAGAGTTATGAAAATTTAAACTTTGCAAATTTTTACATTCTCAGATTAGCTAGCTCTGTCTATCAAATTATAATAAATAACATTATTTAACTACTAAATAAATTTAAATTTCTGTGAAACATTTAACTTATTTTTTATTCACGCGTTGTCGATAAAATAATTTCAACCAAAATGTTATCATAGAATCTTGTTTTTCTTCAAAATAATTATGTTTACCTGCACTTTAGCGTCTTATATCGAAAAGAGTTATAAAATATTTCAGTCATTAGAAACAAATTTAATTATTTATGGTTTGCTAATTAAAACGTTGAAGAATTTTTTAAAGTTTATAGAGTTTCTAAGAAATATTAATATAAAATTAGCATACTTGCGACCAATATTGATTCAACAATATATTATAATTGTTACTCTTATGTAAGAATAATAATTGTTATTTATATGTAATAATATTTTTGACAGCTTGAATTGAACAGTTTTGGCAATTAGAATTTAAACGACAAAAAGAAATTTATTTCGAATTTGGTAAATAGGAATGAATTGTTATTCTATTGTTGTAACATCAAATACTAATTCACTTATATAAACAAATTCTACCTACACAGAATTTTCAACATTTCGTTCTTATATAAAATTGTTTGTTAAAATATGAAATCCACTTAAAAATTGATATTCCGTTTAAAAAGTATTTGTTCAAACCAGTTCCAACTCTGATGATATCGACCATCTATCATTGATCAATTTTTCTTAAGTATTTAAAATATACCTAACAAGTGACGGGAGCGTTTCATAATGATGACTTTTCTAAACGTTCTTTTTTAAATTATAGTCATTTGAATTCAGCGTAAAAATGCAAGTGATGGAATCGTTAGACATCTATGGGAAACTTCAAATAAATGTTTTGTTAGGCAATGAAATGAAAGCAATTTGGTTTTTTTACTTATAAAACTTTCTTGTTGCTAGGCAAAGCAAGTTTAAAAGCAGGTTTAAAAATTTTATTATTTTGAAATATTATTTAACTCTTAAAAAGTATTTTATATTTTATTTCATTATTCGCCTCTTAATGAACGTTGACCTTTCTAAAAGTGTTTTAAAATGGATTTGAGTGTTTTTTTTTGTACAAACTCTAAATTTTGAAAATGTGGCAAAAACACCTTCTTGCTGGCAAACAAAATAAAATAAAATAAAAAGGTCTTTTGATAGCTATCATTTTTGCTGGTATCGTGATATTGTATAGTAATGCAATGCTGCAATGTTTTACACTGTCTAAAAATTGAATTTTCAAACTTTAAAATAAAAGTTTATGTTTGAAACATGTAGATCTGTGATGTAGCCTACAATTTCACAGTAGGTATTTTGTTTCTAGTATTCCTTGCTACAATTTGAACGAAATTTCATAAAAATAATTGGATGGGTCTCAAGTTTTTTTATTATTTATTAAATAAAAACCTTTTGCATGCCAAGAATTAAGATATCAAAATATCTTTCATTAACGTCACGTGTCATCCGGCCATGCTACAACTCCCGTCAACTTTTTTGCTCGTTACTTCTTGTGAGTGTAGTACGTCTCACACCGCCTCACAACAAAGAACAATCCACTGATTCACGTTGAAATTGTACTCATCTATTCAGAATCGCTCTCTAAGGGAATTATTTTTTATATCCAAAACCAATTATTTTCTAAAGGAATTATTTTTTATATCAAAGGAAATACAAATCATTTTACATATCGACTGCATGTAATTCATTGAAAGGTTTGTAATAAAACATTCGAGATCAGTTATAAAATTGCAGACGCACAGACAACATAACACAATTTAAAAAATACTTTACTCAATATTCACTTGAATTAATATTAGAAACATGTGTACACTACACATATATGTGATCAGTACCTATATCTACCTGCAGTTTCCAACCACTCTTTAAATTGGTTCCACCTCGATTCGTTCACAGAGTCCAGTTAATGCACGCACACATATTATTATTAACATCTAATTTTAGTGAAAACTTTAAATTTTTTTATTTGAAACAAATTATAATGAAAAAAACGTTAAATTTCAATAAATTGGAAAAATGTTTTTCGAAGTTATGTTGTTGATCGAAAGGCAATTTTTTGATTTTGATGTAAGTGTAATAATATTGAACTATTATATTTCTACTACTACTACCACTGCTACTACTACTTTTACTACTACTACCACCACTACTACTAAAAATACTACTACTGCTACTACTATTAATACTACTACAAAAATGCTGATAATAACAAAGTTATCCTTGCTAGTTTTACTATCATTGTTATTATATTTTTTATTGATCAATCAAAATTATTTTTAATATTGTTACTAATAGTTTAATTACTAAAACTATTAAAAACGTTAGAAATACATACTATTAAAATTTATATTATATTTAATTGCTAGTAGTCTACAGCAGAGTTTTATCAATAAATAGATAAACCATGTTACAGTCTCAGCATTGTATTCACTGGTTCACTTCCATTGTGTTATTCACTGGTTCACTTTTGTTATATCGTGTTATATCGCATTTTTATTGCCTTATTTAACATAAAAATTCACAATTCACTTGAATTTTGAAGCAATTCAATCTAAAACTACAGATATATAAAGAACGATTTGTAACCGAAAATGGTTTCAGTGTATTTACACAATAATATTGGCTCTTTTTTATGATTTCAGAATCACAACAGTCAGCAGAGCAGAAAAATGTTTATATAACAACAAAATTTATTTTGTAAGATCGAAAAATTCACATTCAATTTATATCTGATATCAAAAGAACAAGTTTATTTTGATTTTTTCATTGAAAACCTTTGGCACAAGCATCTCAAGTTTAAATACTTCAAATTTAATGTTTTTAATGACTGTTAATTATTCATACAATACAATTTTTACGTACACAACAACGTAAGTAATGTTACGATCAACGTTTAGTTTATTTATTTAGTTTTTTTCAGTTAGACCAACATCTACTTGTAGACTTTTCAACGGGATCAAACGGCCGTTCTCTTTGAAATCATCCTCGAACTGATCAAAGTTTTTTCCGTCGCATTCATCTCGTTTGGCAAAAAATATATTTGCGTTCATATTTTTCTCTAAATTGTCACGAACAATATCATGGTTGATGAGGATGCTGTCATGGTTGATGTCTGCACTTTCGCAATGGATGACATTATTGTCACGGTTGGTGATGCTGTAGTCGCGACTGTTGATGTTGCTGTTAAAATAGATGTTGTATTTTTTGTTCATGTTAGTGTTGTTGTTGTCATCTTTTTCAGGTTTGATATACTCATTGTTTATGTTTTTAGCACGAAGACTAACAGCAACAGTTGTATTAACTTGATTCTGCCTGTGGTGACTGTTGTTTGTATTCGGACTCGGCATGAGAGATGTTAAACAGCAGCAGTAACGCCTCATATAATCCAGCAGTATATTTCTAAAGGTATCGTTGAGAAGGCAGTAGATAAAGAAATTGCTGGCAGAATTGACGGCCACCAGCAAATCACTCAATTTCGAGTAATAATAGTAGAGAGAACCGGGGTCAGAGGGATTCTTGGTGGCCCAAAATATTTGATTCAACAGCGCCGGCGTCTGAGTGAAGATGAATGTACTGACGATCGCCACAACGCACTTTGTTATGTGATCCGTTTTTCGAGCAGCGCGTTGACTCCTTCCGCCGCTGCTGGCATCGCGACTTGACCCTGTAGCTTCACTGCCGCTAACATGTTTCAACGCTATTGACTTTTTCTTTTTTAAATATTTCAAAACAACGATTAGTTTGACGTTGAGGTAGGTGAGTATGAAGAGGGGGCCGATGTACATGATGGGGTAGTAACATATGACGGTGTATATGAAGAGGTACACGCCGTGGTAGCCCAGCTGGATGGTTCGTGTAGGGTTCGTGGATATCCCGACCACTGTTCTTATTTCTTCACTTTCTGTTGCAATTATTTTGTAGTTATTAGTTTGAAGAAGATCGGCAGAGTTGTTCAACGTGAAGAAGTTTTCGTACAGCAGTCCTGACGCGTTAAGTTCTATTTGGTCGTCTTCAACAAATGCTGGGTTTTTCACTAACTGAAAATATAATTCAATGTATTTATCAATTCAATGACAAAAAATTTAAACTTAATGTCAATCAACATTTATAAGCATTCGTTCAACTTTTCAATCTGAATAAACCGGATGCTGCAACTTTTAAAAACTGAATAACAAATAAATCTTTGATGCTATAAAGAGCAATTAAAATGTATGAAGTGGAACAAAAAAAATCACAACAAATTTCAAACAATTGAAAATAACAGTTTTTATAGAAAACATTAACATGGGACTAAATTAAAAAATTGTCGGTGTCGTCAAATCCGTCCCCGCTCGCGGCTTCACGTCTGCGTCTGCTCGTCTTCATTTCCTTTCTCACAACGTAAATGAATATATTTTTGAGGCTTAGCACGAATTGCGACAAACATATGAATAAATAAATCACTTTATTTTTACGTTGGAAATACTGCTTTTTCATAATTTTTACAAATTTTTTCAGAGAAAACCATTTTTAGGAAAAAAAAGTACAATATCAAAAGTTTTTCATTTAAAAATGATTCCACATTTCAAAAGAGTTTCTGTTTAACAAGATGAAAAGCGTTATAAATTTAGATGTAACTAAGATAAATCAAGTTGTAAAGAATAAAAACATTTTCTAAATGTGCAATTTGTAAAATAAATAAATGAAAAGATTAAAAGATATGAATAAAAATTAAGATATTAAAAAATAAAGAAAAGGCAAGTGCGTGACATTTGAAAAAGATAAAAACATGCTGATAACTTGGAAAACATGCAGATGGGTTTAAAATGTCAGTTGAAAGATTTTAATGGTAAGTAAAAGAATAAATTTGACATATAACTGCACGGAACTAAACACTAAAAAACTTAAAAACAAGTTTACAGAAACGAAAAAAGAAATTAAATAAGACTTACGACATTTATTCATTTTTGCCCTATGGTTGTAAGTACTGTAGCATAAAAATCATTCAACAGTTTAACTTCGAGAAGAGATAACAAAATTTGTTTCATACACTAACAAGAAATTGAGATGTTTTGCTTTACTTTCAAACATCCAGACCACTCCAAACTTTTTCAGGACCTTTAATTAACTTCATTACAATTCACCGCCGTCTTTGAACATGAGTGTGCGTACATTTTAGACTTCTTCGTGCTCAGAGACATCATAGCCAGACTCATGGTTTTATGTTTGTATATAAGAACATGAACCATATTTCGCCATTTAAATATCTACTGTTTTTACACACACACACATATATATATATATATATATATATATATATATATATATATATATATATATATATATCCTTCTTTGAATCAAGCCAATAAGTATTTCAGATATTAGAAAAACTTTTATGTTCTCTTATTATTTTTTCCTGAAAGTTATTTTTTCGTTTATTGAGTTTGGTTCATTTCATTTCATTGGTTTCGGTCATTTGAAAAAAACTGTTTTTTTGTTGAGTCATTTATCAGTTACCTTTTGTATGTATATCATTTCAAGTTTTTTGTTCAGATTAAAGCCATTAAAATTTCAAGCGATTTTAAAAATTTCGAATCTAAAATTTTGTTTTTGTGATCTTTATGTTGAGTATATTATAGAAGACGTTGTAATGGTATACAAACAAATCTCATGGAAAACTTTTAATAGATCTGATACATTTATAAATCTTATATATTTGTACAATTTAAAAATTATTAAAAAATAAACAAAAATAATAAAAAAAGCTGAAACTGTTGACAGCTTCACGCTTTAACGCGTTAGAAAAAAATGTCCAAAATAAACGTTTGATCGAGTGTTTTTTTTTTATTGCTTGTCAACTGATTTTCAAAGGCATTATTTCCAAGATAATATGCTAATCTATTTTTGTCTATTTTTATTTTTAGACTATCATTTGTATTTTCATGGTCCATAGTGAAATAAAAGTAATAAAATAATTTTTATTAAGTTCTGAAAGTTTTATAAAAGCAAAAATTGAGTTTTATTTAAAAAAGTATTTGTGCTCTAATATTTTAATTTACAATAAACTTGCTTTTAGTTCATCATGTTTTTCAAACTTTACTGTCTTATGAACAAATGCATGAAGTTAACGTGGTCGAAATGAGAGAAGTTTGCAAAAACCCCATTCATCTGCATCTACTTAAACATCTGCCTCAACAACAGGCTTACTTACATGTGTCTTTTATTTTAATACGAATCTAATTAGAGGGAATAATGAATGGAAGCGTAAACGTTTCATTAATCAATCAGATTACCATTAAATACCTTCCATTTAGTTCTTTTTATAGTATATTTATATTACATATAAACATAAATATTCATTCATTCAATTTTCAATGGACGGGATATTAAATTTGAAACTATTATAAAAAAGTTTAACATTTGAATTAATTTAAATAACTTACGCTTTTTAAAGAACATCAGCTTACCCACATAAATTTTAATTTTCTCTGAGCGGGCTTTTATTTTTCTCATAATGTATTTAAAATCCCAAATAAAAATGAATTTATAAAATGAAAAGACTTGTTTATTGTAAAATAAACAACAAAAATATTATTCCGTTTTTGTGAACTGATGTGAACAAAGTTCCTGACTATGAGGCGAAAATCATTAACGCGCACTGCCTGTGCTGCAACGAACAATGCTTCTCAGTCCGATAAATTATTGATTAAAATATTAACAAGTTAACTTACAATAGTTTACGTTTGAAATTATGGAAACATTTTCAAATATATTTGTTGATGAGGCAAAATGAATAACTTTAAAAGGAGTTTTGAGTGATGTTAACAATAGTATTAAAATGTGGTTATTAGTCTCGTAATAATTCAAATCCAGTTGAATCGTCTTTAAGTAATGTACTTGTGGTGTGTGATTATTGTATTGTAAAACGTGTGATAAGCGAGGATCTTTTTACTTTCGAACCCTGTTGTGTTGGTTTTCAGAGATATCTTTCGATTTATTTGATTCTTTTGTTTAAGATCACTTATTGCGCAAACTGTAATTAAGGTGGCTTTGTTACGAGTGTTCTTTCACTTTTAGCGTTTCATTCATATAAAAGTAAAACGGAAAAGATCTCATGAGTGAGTGTCTTGAAAGATGATTTTATTGCATAAATTTAAAAAATTTACATTATTTAACTGGCGTATTTTGTATTTAAAAACTTGTTCAATTTCAAGTGGTGCATTAGATTAAAAAAAGTTTCCGTGGTATTTCTGGTCGATGCCCTGAGGAAATTTATCAACATCAACATAAAACATTTATCTAAAAAAGCACAAAAGTGAACAATCCAAGTGCAGTTTAGATGCCTGGTCGTAGAATTTAACCAAAAAACCGACAACAACTGTGGCAAAGATAATAATTGGATTGAAGAAATATTGCAGAAGGTGACGACGAATGGATAGCTTACTACATTGTGAAGAAAGATTTCTCATGTTCCTAATTTATCTGTTGCTACTTAATTAGCTGTCCAATGTTTTACGAGAGGGAGAGGCAGTCCAATGGCTTTGGTTGATTTGTGAGTCAGGTTTATTGGCATTCAGTATTCATGAGGACCACGGATAATGTTGTGTTGTTGCCGATTGTTCATATAAACAAGCCACGTCTGCTGGTGAGTACCTTTTTAATAATTATGTCTTAATTTTTTAAAATTTTAGAAATATATACAAAACACATATAATTACGAGTAAAACTTAATTTTTTCAAAATATTTATTTATTTCGTTTATATTGATGCTAAAAATAATTAAAAGAATCAAATTAACCTTCTTTATATATGATAATAAATAAGAGTGAATGTTGGTCGGAGTAATATTTACGATGTAGGTTAGGAAGTTTTATGTTGCTCGTTTTCTTGATGGTGGTGATGTTATATATAAGATAGGCTGTCATGTTTACGTTATCATTGAGGTACATGCAAGTACAAGTACCTATGTATACAACAACAAACAGTTTAGTGCAATTTAAAACAGCAGAACAATTAATTTAGTGTGACGCACATCAGAGTGTTTATTACTTTCAATTATAAGCCAGTCTGAAGCTATTTTATCTTGATTTAATTCGTTTTTTTCTCAAAAACAAAAAATTAAACAAAGCTTAAATTGATATAAATTATTAATTAACAATTAATAATTAACTAAAAATGTTTTGCTTTTTTACTCTTGAAACTTTTTCCGCTTGGCTTTTTATCGTTTAATCAATTAGAAATGGTTTGTATACTTAACAAAATGTAACAATTTTATTGTGGTGTAAGTTATTGGCGTAAAATATCTAGGTTCGCAACAACAAAATTCCTATGACGTAACATTCAAGTTACATCAACGAGCAACAGCTGAATCGAAGTCAAGCGACTAAATCGAAATCGTCCTAAACTACTCACAAAATATTGCAAGAGAAACAGATTTGCAGATTTTGAATAATTTTATTCGTTCGATTTAGCAAACATCAGTGTCGGGTCCGAAGGGGAATGCGGGGATACACCAGACAGTGAAAAAGAAAATATGGAAGAATCTGTGTGAAACATTGTAATAAAGTGAACGGGAATTAAAAGTGAAAAGACTTCATCTTAAATTTTGAAAATCATCCCCTTCGAAATGAAAGTTGGCCAAAAAAAATGGTCCACAACTTTAGTTTTAAAATCATCCCCCGCCCGTCAAAAAATTTTGAATTGGATTCAAGATTCTCATTTTTATAACACATTACTGCCATTTAAGATAGCTTAATGTGACGTAATACGATTTTCATATTTAGATATTTTATTTTACTTAAACCTTATTCATAAAAAAATGCATTAACTTTTTATTTAGTAAATTTGATTTTTCTAATGCATTCGCACGTTTTATGGCGTTACCAAGAAATAGTCAACACGTTTATAATGCTGTCTTTCAATTTTTATTTTTCTAGTGAATGATTAAAATGTCTTAAAATTATTTGAACAAATTTAAAGTTTTTCTTATTGTCAAAGCTAATAAATTTTAATATTTTCTTGGTAAAATAAATGTAGAAAAAAATATTATTAATTTTCTTCCACTTTTTAGAAAGTTCACAGAATTGCCGCACTTTTAAATATTTCTATCACTTTTCATTACGATACAAATGATAAAATTTTGTTTCATAAATATATTTACTTTAATTTGAACGTTTATTTTTATATTTTTTCAATCGCATAACTAAATGGCACATTTTCATTTTATTTCCATGTAAGCAATTGATAAAAAACAATGTGTTTATGTGTGTGAACATTTGTTTGTTTGTTTGGAAACATATGAGATGAGTGAATATTCACGTAAATGATTGCAGTGTAAATGCTTGCTGTGATTATCTGCTTTTATTCTTTAACTCTCAATGTACAGCTTAGTGATGCATCATTTAAAATGATGCCGCAACTGCTTTAAACATTCTTTTTTCTATCGAGTTTGTACTTTTAAATTGTTGAACGTAATTTTTTTTTGAGAAGTATTTGAAAGCATCATTTATCGCTAAGTGGTTTGTTTTTGAAAATTAAATCGTCAAAAGTTGCAGAATATTATTGTAAAATTTCAAAACTGATTGAAAATTGTGACAATGAAAAAAAAGTCTGAATTACGTTGTCTCCTTTCAAAATTGCAGCAACTGCAATCATTGCAGCAATCATTTATAATTGCAGTTATAAACCATTTATGGCTTCTAAACTTCATGTTTTGTGTTTTTGCAAAATAAATCTATTCAAGGAAACCAAAAAAAATATTTTTTTCAATTAAGTTGGTTTTTTAAAACGCAAAAAAGTGATTGAGCAAAAAGCATCGATTTTAGCTGTTAATTTTTTGATGATACTGTGCTGGGTAGCGTACATTTATATCGTAGTATCTTAGATTAAGTTATGGCGTTAATTAACATAATGTAAAAAAATATAATACCATTGGGGTTATATTCTATAACAAATTATATGTAACAAGAACTTTGAGTTAAATTGTTAAAAAAGTTGACAACTACTCTTTGTTATCCCACATATTATCCCTCATATATATAAATACAATTATGATTTTAATAAATTTAGTTTAAACCCTAGCAAAACGTTTCATTTTTTAGGGTTTCAGACCCAAAACCATCCCAACTTGCTTATTCAGGCTTACTTTTTTAATATAGTTATTTAATTAAACATTTGTAACACCAGGAAGGGTTGGTGGGTGCCGACGTGACTTGCTGCCTCGGACGCTAGCCACCCTCGGTACGCCATA